GGCTTTGGGGGCGTCTACGCCGGCATTTGAGATCATCCCCTCCCTCGTTATGGCGCTTAGACCTCTATTAATGCGACCCGTTGTCTTAAAATCAGCTTCGGGGGCGTCTAAGCCCGAATGCGACATGATCCCCTCCCTCGTTATGGCGTTTAGACCTCTATTAACGTGACCGGTCGCCAAACCAGCTTTGGGGGCGTCTGTTCTACCAGGCGAGACGATCCCCTCCCTCTCCGACATCCCGGCTTCATCCAAAATGAAAAAAGAAAAAAAGAAACAGAAAAAGAAGGAGTGATTTTATTTAAATTCTTTAAAAATTAAAAAAAAAAAATTCCTGGCATTTCAGGGCCCCGGCAGGAAAGGAAGTAAGGAAAAAAAAGAATTAAAAAAAAAATAAAATTAAATAAAAATTATCCCCTCCCTCGTCATAGCGTTTAGACCTCTGTTAATGCGACCCGTAGTCGGGAAACCAGCTCTGGGGGCGTCTATTTTCCAGCACGCAAGATTTTCCCCTCCCTCATTATAGCGTTTAGACCTCTATTAATGCGACCCGTCATTTTGAAACCAGCTGTGGGGGCGTCTATGCCGGCATTTGAGATTGTCCCCTCCCTCGTTATGGCGTTTAGACCTCTGTTAATCCGCCCCGTTGTTTTGAAACACCTTTGGGGGGCGTCTATGCCAACACCCGAGATTATCCCCTCCCTCATTATAGCGTTTAGACCTCTATTAATGCGACCCGTCGTTTTGAAACCAGCTCTGGGGGCGTCTATGCTGGCATTTGAGATCGTCCCCTCCCTCGTTATGGCGTTTAGACCTGTATTAATGTGACCAGTCGCCAAACCAGCTCTGGGGGCGTCTGTTCTACCAGGCGAGACGATCCCCTCCCTCTCCGACATCCCGGCTTCATCAAAAAAGAAAAAAGAAACAGAAAAAGGAGTGATTTCATTTAAATTCTTTAAAAATTAAAAAAAAAATTCCTGGCATTTCAGGGCCCCGGCAGGAAAGTAAAGAGGGAAAAAAAAGAATTAAAAAAAAATAAAATTAAATAAAAATTATCCCCTCCCTCATCATAGCGTTTAGACCTCTATTAATGCGACCAGTTGTTTTGAAACCGGCTCTGGGGGCGTCTATGCCGGCATTTGAGATCGTCCCCTCCCTCATTATAGGTTTAGACCTCTATTAATGCGACCAGTCGCCAAACCAGCTCTGGGGGCGTCTATTGTACCAGGCTAGACGATCCCCTCCCACTCCGACATCCCGGCTTCATCAAGAAAAAAAAAAGAAAAAATGAAAAAGAAGAAGTAATTTATTTAAATCATTTAAAAATTAAAAAAAAAAATTATCCCCTCCCTCATCGTAGCGTTTAGACCTCTATTAATGCGACCCGTCGTTTTGAAACCAGCTCTGGGGGCGTCTATGCCGGCATTTGAGATTGTCCCCTCCCTCGTTATGGCGTTTAGACCTCTATTAATGTGACCAGTTGCCAAACCAGCTTTGGGGGCGTCTATTCTACCAGGCGAGACGATCCCCTCCCACTCCGACATCCCGGCTTCATCAAAAAAGAAACAGAAAAAGAAGGAGTGATTTTATTTAAATTCTTTAAAAATTAAAAAAAAAATCCCGGCATTTCAGGGCCCCGGCAGGAAAGGAAGTAAGGAAAAAAAAGAATTAAAAAAAATGTAAATTAAAAAAAAATTATCCCCTCCCTCATCGTAGCGTTTAGACCTCTATTAATGCGACCCGTTGTTTTGAAACCGGCTCTGGGGGCGTCTATGCCGGCATTTGAGATCGTCCCCTCCCTCATTATAGCGTTTAGACCTCTATTAATGTGACCAGTCGTGAAACCAGCTCTGGGGGCGTCTGTTCTACCAGGCGAGACGATCCCCTCCCACTCCGACATCCTGGCTTCATCAAATAAATAAAAGAAAAAAAAAGAAAAAGAAGAAGTAATTTATTTAAATCCTTTAAAAATTCAAAAAAACATTATCCCCTCCCTCATCGTAACGTTTAGACCTCTATTAATACGACCAGTCGTTTTGAAACCCGTTCTGGGGGCGTCTATGCCAGCATTTGAGATGATTCCCTCCCTCGTTATATCGTTTAGACCTCTGTTAATGCGACCACTTGTTTTGAAACACCTTTGGGGGCGTCTTCGCCGGCACCCGAGATTATCCCCTCCCTCGTTATGGTGTTTAGACCTCTATTAATGCGACCCGTCGTTTTGAAACCAGCTCTGGGGGCGTCTATGCCGGCATTTGAGATTGTCCCCTCCCTCGTTATGGCATTTAGACCTCTATTAATGCGACCAGTCGCCAAACCAGCTTTGGAGGCGTCTATTCTACCGCGCGAGACGATCCCCTCCCTTCCGACATCCCGGCTTCATCAAAAAAGAAAAAAGAAACAGAAAAAGAAGGAGTGATTTTATTTAAATTCTTTAAAAATTTAAAAAAAAAAAATTCCTGGCATTTCAGGGCCCCGGCAGGAAAGTAAAGAAGGAAAAAAAAGAATTAAAAAAAAAATTAAATTAAATAAAAATTATCCCCTCCCTCGTCATAGCGTTTAGACCTCTATTAATGCGACCAGTTGTTTTGAAACCGGCTCTGGGGGCGTCTATGCCGGCATTTGAGATTGTCCCCTCCCTCGTTATGGCGTTTAGACCTCTGTTAATGCGACCAGTCGTTTTGAAACACCTTTGGGGGCGTCTATGCCAGCACCTGAGTTTATCCCCTCCCTCGTCATAGCGTTTAGACCTCTATTAATGCGACCACTTGTTTTGAAACCGGCTCTGGGGGCGTCTATGCCGGCATTTGAGATCGTCCCCTCCCTCGTTTTAGCGTTTAGACCTCTATTAATGCGACCCGGTCGCTTTGAAACCGGCTCTGGGGCTGTCTACACCGGCCGACCGCCCACCCACACCACCACCCGGGCTTCCGGACGATCGTTCCGGATCATTCCAACCTCCCCCCACGAGGTCGGCGGACGGTGAGGGGGAGGCCTACCTGCCTCGAAGGGAGGCCGGCGAGTCCGGGGCTCGGGGAGGACCTCGAGCCTCAACCTCTCCGCCGCGGTGGACACGATGCGGTCGCCAGGGTGCGGGACTCCGCTCCTGCCGGGAAACGGGGTGTGGGGGTCACGGGGGTCACGGGGGCAAGAAGGGACGCGGGTCACCCCCGCTCCGACCCCGCCGGGACCCCGAGATCCCAGCTGGGGGCAGCACGGGGCTCGAAGTGACTGTCCCCTCCCTGCTTACAGCGCTTAGACCTCTGTTAATGCGACCAGTTCGCTTTGAAACCGGCTCTGGGGGCGTCTACGCGGACATTTGACATTATCCCCTCCCTCGTTATGGTGTTTAGACCTTTATTAATGCGACCCCTTGTTTTAAAACCAGCTTTGGGGGCGTCTACACCGGCATTCAGGATGATCCCCTCCCTCGTTATAACGTTTAGACCTCTATTAATGCGACCTGTAGCTTTGAAACCGGGTCTGGGGGCGTCTACGCGGGCATTTGACACGATCCCCTCCCTCGTTATAGGGTTTAGACCTCTATTAACACAACCAGTCGTTTTTAAACCAGCTTTGGGGGCGTCTATGCTGGCATTCGACATTATCCCCTCCCTCGCTACAGCGTTTAGACCTCTGTTAACATGACCCGTATTTGGAAAACCAGCTCTGGGGGCGTCTACGCCGGCATTTGGGATTATCCCCTCCCTCGTTATGGCGCTTAGACCTCTATTAACACGACCCGTAGTCGTGAAACCGGCTTTGGGGGCGTCTATGCCGGCATTGGACACAATTCCCTGCCTCGTTAAAGGGTTTAGACCTTTATTAATGCGACCAATCGCTTTGAAACCGGCTTTGGGGGCGTCTATGCCAGCATTCGGGATTATCCCCTCCCTCGTTACAGTGCTTAGACCTCTATTAACATGACCAGTCGCTTTGAAACCGGCTTTGGTGGCGTCTACGCCAGCATTGGACATTACCCCCTCCCTTGTTACGGTACTTAGACCTCTATTAATGCGACCTGTAGTCACAAAACCGGCTGTGGGGCGTCTATGCCGGCATTCAAGACTATCCCCTCCCTCGTTACGGCGTTTTGACCTCTATTAACACAACCCGTAGTCGTGAAACCGGCTTTGGGGGGCGTCTACGCCGGCATTCGAGATCGTCCCCTCCTTCCTTATAGCATTTAGACCTCTATTAATATGACCAGTCACTTTGAAACCGGCTCTGGGGGCGTCTACACCGGCATTGGACACGATCCCCTCCCTCGTTACGGTGCTTAGACTTCTATTAATGCGACCTGTAGCTTTGAAACCGGTTCTGGGGGCATCTACACCGGCATTCGAGATTATCCCCTCCCTCGTTATAGCGGTTAGACCTCTATTAATGCGACCCATCACTTTAAAACTGGCTTTGGGGGCGTCTATACCAGCATTCGGGATCATCCCCTCCCTCTTTATAGCATTTAGACCTCTATTAATATGACCAATCGCTTTGAAACCGGCTCTGGGGGCGTCTACACCGGCTTTCGGGATCATCCCCTCCCTCCTTATAGTGTTTAGACCTCTGTTAATGCGACCTGTAGCTTTGAAACCGGCTCTGGGGGCGTCTACACCGGCATTCGGGATCATCCCCTCCCTCCTTATAGCGTTTAGACCTCTATTAATACGACTAGCCACTTTAAAACCGGCCCTGGGGGCGTCTACACCGGCTTTCGGGATTATCCCCTCCCTCGTTATAGCACTTAGACCTCTATTAATATGACCAATCGCTTTGAAACCGGCTCTGGGGCGTCTACACGGCGTCGGCACGATCCCCTCCCTCGTTATACCGCTTAGACCTCCGCTAACGCGCCGGCCTCACCTGTGCGCGGCGAGCGTCGGGCCGCGCGAGGCCGGCGACGTCTCCATGGTGACGAGGCCGCCCCGGGCCTCCGCCCCGGCCTCCACCGCCGCTGGAAGAATGAGAGAAAACCCGTTGGACAGGTGGGGAAACTGAGGCAGGCAGGGGGGAGGCAAAGGCGGGCAGCGGGGCGAGGGGCCGGGGCCGCTGTGGCCGCGCAGGGTCGCGCCGTGGGTGGGGTGGGGGGTGGGGCGTATGGAGTTTGTGTGCATTTATTGGCAGCCTGCTGTATGCCGGCACTTAAACTACGGATTTTGTGTGCATTTATTGGCGGCCTGCTGTATACCGGCACGTAAACTACGGATTTTGTGTGCATTTATAGGCAGCCTGCTGTATACTGGCACTTAAACTACGGGTTTTGTGTGCATTTATTGGCAGCCTGCTGTATACCGGCACTTAAACTACGGGTTTTGTGTGCATTTATTGGCGACCTGCTGTATACTGGCACTTAAACTACGGATTTTGTGTGCATTTAGTGGCGGCCTGCTGTATACCGGCACTTAAACTGCGGATTTTGTGTGCATTTAGTGGTGGCCTGCTGTATGCCGGCACTTAA